CCGAGCCGGCTCGGCTCGGCTCGACTCGTTTGCCACCACTACATATTTTTCAATAAAATAATATTACACACGAGCTCAAAGTTTTTCCTTATTTTTTAACCACATAAAATAGAAATTATTATTTTTAACTTTTGTTTGTATTCCCTTTTAAATTTTAAAAAAAAACGAGGGCAATTATATCCACACAACAATTTTTAAAAGGTATACGGTACACCATATTTTTATTGCAATGAAGATCTCCATCTAACATTTATGACATTAATTTTTTCTTTTGTCGCATTCTTATCTTTAATCTTCAATTTCATACTTTTTTCCTGATTTTTGGTTGTCGTCAAAATACTTTGTTAGCGTGATTTGAATTGAGGAAAAAATATTTTATCGAAGTTTTTATATTTATTATTTATTTGAAAAATAGAGGAATAAATGAGTTTTTTTATGTCATCCTAACGAATTTTTTTGGACAGAAACCGTCATTAATGACAAAATCTGCTAATCAATTGAAGTTTAAGGATAAAAATATGACCAAAAAAATCAGGACATATATGTGACAATGTGCAAAAGATTAAATAAATTGTGGCATGACCCTTAAAAATAAAGGTCATCTTTAGTCAAATAAGTTCAAAAGCAACTTTTGAGTCTCAAAAACTCTTTTTGATTTTTTAGAAGTCATGTCAAACGGGTCCCTGCTAGATTTGATATATGATTGAAAGATTGATAAAAATTGTAAATCTCATAAAATGTGTAATTAAAATTAATAGTCTATTTTAACTTAAATTTTAATCTAAATCAACAGGGGCTTATAATTGAGTAATATGACCTACTATTTTACCCTTTAAAAACTGAGGAAGTAGAAGTCACATGTACAGTTAACGGTCGAAATGACACAAAGCTCTTGTTAGACTCGGATGTAAATTTAATTTTTAATATATTTTATAAAATTTGATGAAATGTGTGATTAAAATTTATTTTTGATTTTGATTTTGATTTTGATTTTAATCCAACTTTTTAGTTGTACCAAACATGGACAAAATAAGCATCGAGGACTAAATGCTTTCACAAGCAAAAAGGCTGGGAACGATACTGCCAAATAGATAGGTAGAGGACCAAGTTGTGATAATGTCCATATATTGGGGGACCGGTGATGAAAATCTTCCTGTAAGTTATTTCAAAATCTTGCGGGTTTACCGAAAACCCTCACTCAGTGATTCCCCCTCCGTTTGGAGAGGTCAAAAGCTAACAATGGAAGGCGCCTCGTACCAGAGATTCCCGAAGATCAAAATCCGGGAGGTGAGGGACGATTACATGAAATTCGAGCTGCGGGAGACGGACGCGAGTATCGCCAACGCGCTTCGGCGTGTGATGATTGCGGAGGTGCCGACAATCGCCATCGATTTGGTGGAAATCGAGGTGAATTCGTCCGTTCTTAACGACGAATTCATCGCCCACCGCCTAGGGCTCATTCCGCTTACCAGTGAACGTGCCATGGGGATGAGGTTTTCACGAGACTGTGATGCCTGTGATGGAGATGGTCAATGTGAGTACTGCTCCGTGGAGTTTCATCTGAGAGCAAAGTGTATTAATGACCAGACCCTTGATGTCACTTCTAAGGATTTGTATAGCTCTGACCACACGGTTGTTACAGTTGATTTTTCGGATTCATCTTCTGGCTTTGAGAACTCGGAGAATAAGTATACTTTTATCTCCACCTCTCCGCGCGTGTGGTATATCTATGTTGGATTTTCAAATTTTATGTAATTCTACTTGGGTGTGGTGGTAAATGCAAGTAATTATTGGTTTGAAGATAAGGTTTTTCTGTCTAATCCGTATGCAGTTACTCCTATTTGTGCTGGTGATGTAGATGGCTGTAAAATCTTAGGTTAAGTATTGAGTCTTGTAGGGGTTGCGCAGAATTTCCATTTTCTTTTTGGGAATGTCAAACCTAGTGAAATTGAGGTGTGATTTCTTGAAGAAAGGGTTTTGCAAATTAAAGGTTACAATAAAAATTTTAGAGTGTCTAGGTTAACTTATTTTCAAATGGAAGACTACAAAAAAGGTAGATAAAAGAGGGAAAGTGCGAAGATGAAATTCCTGTAATGTCCATAGGGCAGAATATGTGCCAGTCATGAACTTTTTTGGGTATATTATTGCTAATAACATGCTCCATTTATTATAAATCTCTATGATTAATTTTAAATGCAACCTATTGAAAATATGGCTTAACATGGCTCTTTGTAGTTGCAAATGATTTTGTTCCATTGAACTTCCTAGAGATTTAGTGATAAAGTGGATGGAATGGTGAGAAAGTATTCATGTACCCATCCCAATTGGAAATAAGACTTCTTTTTTCCTTGTATCCAACCCCACAACCCAACCAAAACATTTATACAAAAAATAAATAAATAAACCCCCTAAGACTTTGGTGGAATAAACGCTCCACTAGTAGCTTGGAAGACGTCTAAACAATATGTATTGCCCATTTGTGAAGAATATAGTTGCATAGCACTTGCGCAGAAGCCGAAAGCAAATTATTGCAATTTGTTTGCCATCTTAGAATTTTTCATAATGCTTTTTCCAATTCACTGTCATCTTCAAGTGCCATGCGGAATTTTATTCCTTTGTGGAAATTATGTGATTTTGTTATGGTTTTTTTTTTTTTTTTGGAGCCTGAAAAAATGTGAATGCTTTACTAAATATCTCTAGTTTGTGGGGAAGTCTTGATCCTGGAAGCTATTGTGAATGAATTCTTATCTATATTTAGTTGCATATTTCTCTGTCAGTGACTTGTTAATTTGTGTTATTTAAAATAGGCTATTGCATGTAATACATGGTTGAAAGATTTGGATTTTATCCAGAATGGACCAAGATTGATAGAAAAATGAGAAAAAAAAAAGGCTTTCTAAAACAAATTATAACCTTGTTGATTTGAAGACGGGAAATTTTTCATTCTTAGCCCTTACAATGGCCCAGGTTAAGTTAACGTCACCGAGTTAATAAGATAGGGAGTTGTCCCTAAACTTGACCCTGTCAAGATAATATGTTTGATCCTGTCTGTTGAGTTAACATTATGGGGTCGAGTTATCCTTTATCAAGAAAAATTCAACTGTAAATGTGAAGATGTTTGATCTCAATAGAGATGATGCACATCAAAATTTGTTTGATGATCAACAATTTGGTATGCCTATAATTCTTTATTTCTTTCCTTATCTGTATCGACGAGACAAACTGTTGGCAAAACATGCTATGTGAAAATTCGAAAAATGAGGAGAGTAATCATGAAAATCCAAAGAGGAAACCTATATAAAAAAACAACTTTGTTGGATTATACCTTCTTAAAATGGGTATGTTTGACATTTTTTTCATCTTTTAAGTTTGAATAAGGCCTTCACTGAAACCTTAAAAAAGGCGCCATCTCCACTCCCAAAATATGGAGTTTTTGAAAAATATACCATTAAAGATTTAATAATGAATTATGAATCTGAAATTAGATTTTATTTGGATTCCCTTTGCATTAAAAGACAGGAGATTAGAGAGATTTAGAAGGGGAGTTTGGAGTTTCAACCTTGATGCCTAGAGTCCAGAACATTGTTCGTGGTAACAATGGTATAGCCATGAACTTTCAGTTGGTATATTCTTCGTGGTAATATATTAGCTCAGTTAAGTTATTTAGGTCGTATAAAAACTTGATGTCTAGAGTCCAGAAACATATTTTCTAATGCTTTTTCAGTGCATTATCAGGGTTAACTGTTGTCAAAATTTCTTTTAATGTGATTTACTGCTATGATTTTTGAAGTGTAATTCAAGAACTGACCCTACTCGCTGATAAATTGTGTCATTTTATTTAATGAGTAACAAAACTAACAATGTTGGGCAACTTTTTGTTGTTTCTGCTTCATTTTTGTTGATCTTGCATATATGATCTTTAGTGGCAATAATTTTCTAGGGAAATGAATACTTAGATGATTTATGTCTATTATAGGGGAATTATAATTGTGAAGCTACGCCGTGGTCAGGAGCTGATTCTAAGAGCCATTGCTCGGAAAGGAATTGGTAAAGATCATGCTAAATGGTCACCTGCAGCAACCGTCACTTTCATGTATGAACCTGAGATTTATATCAATGAAGAATTGATGGAGAGCTTGACACCTGATGAGAAAAGGGAGTTTGTTGAAAGCAGTCCTACCCCAGTGTTCAAATTCGATGAGATTACGAATCAGGTTGATCACAAATCTCAATACTCTGTTAGGATCTGGAATTATATGTATGATGAAATGATGTGTGCTTATTGAGCTTCTCTCTTATTTTTTCCCATATGTTTGATCTTTTGAAATTTCATTTAGCT